GTATACTTTTGATAGAATATTGCTTTCATGTTACTTAACAGCCCCCGTGAAGCTGTAACGCACACCCAGGGAACTCGCCTACCGGACAGGTGAAGACTTAACATTAGGATACCGTCAGGATGGAGGACTGGAATGCCCTGATGGTGACCAGTCGGCGCCTGAGTGGCCCTCTTGCCTGTCAAAGTGCTAAATTCCTACCATTCGTTTTAAATCATCCATCCATACCTTGTCAGTTAATTTGAATTATAACTCCATCCTTTAACCCACGTTTAATTTAACCAATATTGATCAGATGAAACAAATAAAGAGTTAGGCTACTGTCAATATTAATTTCTGGAAAAAGCAATATTCTGACCACCTGACACATACAAACAAAATGCAATTTCCCTATATCAGTGACATAAAATTATATATTTAGGCTTACCTTTTGAATTTATAAGATATAATAAATTAAAAGATGAATAACCTACTGTAGTGTCTTAGAGTCTGTGATTGTGCTGACCTTTGCAAAAAGTGTGTTAGAGGAAACTTGGCTCTAGGATTTTGCTGATGTTGCAAATGGTGTAACAGATGAACTTTACTCTACTTTGCTGAAACATCTGGAAAGCATTACTAAAGTTCCTGGAAAAAAGGATATGGGGAGAGATGTGAAAAAGGCCAGGGATTGGATATTAGAATCACGCCATACTATGTCATATATGATATAAATACCATGTCTTGAACAGGAGGGGGAAGAATAGCGAATTACAGAATTGGCTCCTGCTGTTCTTCAGATATCTGCAGGTATCTGTAAAACTGACGCTGAAACTCTTTGTTATAATAAACCTTTATAAACAAAGTACAGTGTCGGCGGACTTCTTATCATCACGGCATTATCAGCAAAGGTTTGTTTTCGACCACACTACCCTTCCTTGCCTCTCACATTTGTCACACCCAGAGATGCATGTGCAAACAATTTACTTAATGTCATGTTGTTCTCAAGGCATAAAAATGCTGAATTATGTTAGGAATTTCCATCGATAATAGAAAGGCATGACTATTTTTAAGACTAAGCTACATTGCTTTATTTCTTGTTACAAAAGTAATAAACTGCTAGAAAACATTGTTAACAACCAACACCGTATTGTGTGACATCCAACCACGCCAGTGTGTTTGATGGCTAATAATTCCATGTTGGAATGAGATGATAAAATGGTCCCCATTTCAACCCAATACCTTGGTCTTTCTATTACTGTTGAAAATAGTATTCTAAGATATACTGGTACTGAGAAATACACACCAGAGTAGAAAGTGACAATCTGCCCCGGTCTCCCCTAATATCAGTTAAATCCAATGCAATGATCTGTCTAAAAGCAACATAACTCACCTGATAACTGGCAGCAGTCTTGTCTTTGGGTCCTCTTGGCTTCCTACTATTCTTTTAGTCTTTATCCTGCTCTTCCACTGCATTTGCTGTCGGCAGACCAGTTCTATCCAGTTGGTTGTGTTTTTTTGGCCTCTGTAAATGTTCAAGGGGTATGGTGGTGAGAGGGGCACTGTGTCTGTCGGGCAGCAGGTAGCTTAGTGATTAAGAGCGTTGTGCCAGTAACCGAAAGGTCGCTGGTTCTAATCCCCAAGCCGACTAGGTGAAAAATCTGTCGATGTGCCCTTGAGCAAGGCACTTAACCCTAATTGCTCATGTAAGTCGCTCTGGATAAGAGTGTCTGCTAAATGACTTAAATAGTCTGTCAAATGACAACTTGGCTGGAGCAATTAGTATGGAAATGTTGTCTCGCCACTCCCTGACAACACATTCTGGAGACCCCGTTGTCAACTGAGGCCTTGGTAGGACTTCATTAGAGCAAGGTCTCCCTACTTGTTTGTTTAGATCACGTGTCAGACTCGTTCCACGGAGGGCCGAGTGTCAGTGGGTTTCTGATCCTCCCTTGTACTTGATTGATTAATTAAGGTCACTGATTAGTAAGGAACTCCCCTCACCTGGTTGTCTAGGTCTTAATTGAAAGGAAAAACCAAAAACCAGCATACACAAGGCCCTCCTGGTAGATGCATACAACTGGCCAAAATAAAGTTCTGGAACGATATCAATGGTTCGTTATGGAACTGTCTTGTCTTCTTCTCCCTTGGTCCTTAGTCTAACCCTGTAGTGCTGTATCTATCAGTCTGAAGGCTGTAATTAAACACTTTAGGAGTAAGAGCCCACTCCGCTCCATTAAAAACAACAGGACAAATTGTTCACAGAATGCAATTTTATTTCATTCATTTCATGCCTCTTGGGTCAGCTAAAGGTTTAAATCCGATGCCCATACAGTCATCAAATCACTGACATACAATTGTGAAAGTTCTCATGGTAATCTGTTGTGCTGTCGAATCCTCTTGGATCCTATTTCCTCCTGATTTCATAGAATTCAAACAGACATGCTGCAGCAGTGTTTGATCTCTAGTCTAGCTATTTTTTACCTCTGACCTCTGCCATGGAATACAGTTACTATGTTCATCCATTTGGTATGATCCAAAGGAAGAATAAAGTAACCATACAACTACAGAGAGCTTTGTAAGGCAGCACAATGACATGTGTTGAAAAGAAAACATGCAAACAGCAAAACACTTATTTTTCACAAACAGTTCAACAATTTACCTGTAGCTATACTACCTTACGCATCACACTGGTCTAAATCATGTCTAACTGTGAGCATCTGTGCTCTAAACTGCAAAAGGTTACATTTTATGAGGTACAGTATGTGTGCCAATAATCCCACACCCCATGTTATCCTCTCTCTCTCTCTCTCTCTCTCTCTCTCTCTCTCTCTCTCTCTCTCTCTCTCTCTCTCTCTCTCTCTCTCTCTCTGCTCTCTCTCTCTCTCTCTCCCTCTCTCTCTCTCTCTCTCTCTCTCTCTCTCTCTCTCTCTCTCTCACACAGCATCATCATCATGACACACATCTATTCATGTCTCATATGCTCCCTCACAGGATTGTGCAGATTATTTCGTGTAGGCCATCACAGGACACATGCATATCAGAGGCTTCACTGGTCTGTGATGGTTGAACGGGTGTTTTGTCAACTTCATTTACAGCTGTAGTATGGAGTTGCACATTGCTTAAACATTTTAATTTGCTTTTAAATGAAATAACATGATCAGCCTTATTCATAAGCTTCTAGTCTTGAAGAAAAGTAATCAGATCTACCCAGGTACTGTAAAGTGTAAAGTAAGAAAGTTAATCAATATTATATCTAACTGTCATGTATTTTAAAGAAACGTTTTGGAATATGTCATTCTTCCCTTACTGGAAAATGCTAACTATTTCATATTTTCTGATGATACAGTAGACTTGTTGATAGACAGTGTAAATGAGGAACAGAGAAGAGATGAATGGCTAAGGGAAGGCCCAGGTCAAAACCACTCCCACCATAGTTCTTTATTTAGCCATTGGCTGATTCCTCAGCTGAAAGGTGGAGTCCCCAGTTGGAATTGGTCACCATGGATACGTGAGGCTGAAGAATACATTTCCATGGAAACAATTGAGCAGGGCACTGCTAGTACTGTAAACACAATCACAACATCCAAGTTGTTTTGCCTAAGAAGACTTGACCGTGTTTGTTTGAGTGTGGAGTTCACAAACATTGGAATGAACACAAGGGCCAAACACTTCCCAGCGTAAATGCATTGTAGTGAACTCCACACAGTTGTCTTAGGGCTGCATGGATTTGTCCACTTTGTACACAACTTCTAAATCTCCCACTCTCACAGCCACAGAGAGCTGGGGCAAACACAGGCAGATAAAGTCAACAAACACTTACTATACATATATGCACTTTCATAGCAGGAGAACATATACCGCACCCTGAGAAAGCCTGAGATAAACAATATCAAATGCTGCAATGGCTGTTGTGTCATTCTCATGAAACTGTAAAAAAATTGTCATTTTTCACGAAATGTCCTTTTGAATCACTGAGATTAGGATCTGTACTTATCTATTTCATAATTATTATTATGTTTTTTGATCAGATATGCATTTTAACAATATTTTCACAAAATTCTCATTACCTCATTACATCAACAGTTTTCGAAGTCCAAAAAAGTAGTAAAAAAATCTATATTTCTAATATATATTTTTAGATTGCTCCCCTAATGAAAATACCTGAGTTAAACAAAACACTGAAAATAAAAATATGTCTAATGAAATTATACAATTATTATTAAATGAAATCTGACTTTTTCCCAATTTGAGCTCTTTAACCGTTTCGGTAATGAGAAGGCCAAGTGGGGTAAAGGGGGTGTTTGAGAATAAGAACCTTTTCTGAAGGCATATAAGCGAATACATTAACTTAACTCGTGCTCATCTAAGGACTACTCCTCTAGATGATCCATCATGGGTGAATTAAACTTGATTTAGTTTTTACAGGAACTTGACAAAGTGTTACGGTAATGAGACACATGTCCACAGACACTGTGTTCGTACGTAATACATATTATAGTTTAATGTAAACTTCAACTAGTATACAATTTTTATGATTTATGAATAAACTACAGCAACATATTTTGTTTTATTCAAATAAGTTAGGTTTTTCTAAATAATGTTTTAAATAAAATGATCCGAACATTTAAAATACTAAACTAAAGATCTTAGTCCTTAGAATGATAGTTGATTTTTGCAGAATGATAGTTGATTTTTGCAGATGCATCATGGTTTTGTAACTCAATTTGATACAGACATTTAAAAACTGGTTTCCTGAGAATTACCCTGTTAATTAAACAAAGTCACTCCCCGCTCAGCAAGATTGATCCATTTTGTATGTTAGCCGATATCTCTGCACCATCACCTCAGTTTGCAAACACTTAAGGCAAAAGTATGATTTGGAAAGGAAAAGTGTGTGAAAAGACTATTCCACTCAGAGGCTCCTGAATATAAAAAAGTACCTTTCCCTGTCAGACTTCTGTAAAGGGTTAAAGAGAGAGGGGTTTGTGTCACGTTTCTGCCAGCCTTAATCTGTGTACTCAAGGATGTGGCAGGCCCTTGTTACCCAAAGCTCTGTGGCTCCACGGTGTTAATTTGGGAGATCAGTATGATATAAAAGAGGAGGTTACTGCTCAACATAAACAGACTTCTCTCACACAGTTTGTTATGGAAAGATTATCACCACCATTTATTTTCCACTGACATTCTGCCTGCTTGTTTTGCATTGACCTTTAAAGCGATTACTGAAATGTGTTGTTGTGAAACTGGTTTGTTTGTGTGTGAACCTTGAAGTGAAATACATCATTGTCAGTATTTTGAGGTGGATGTGGTGTTGGAGTCAGGCGCAGGACACAGAAGCTTAGTCCAAACAGACTTTACTTGTCAGAAAATGACAATACAAAATAAAGGGCCTCAAACAACGGAGGCGAGCGATACGCAAAACAGTGCGTAAAACACTAAACATAAGCGATGCGCAAACAGTGCGTCAATACACTTAATAACAAGATAGCAAAATCCAAAACCCCAACGGACAGGCGTACAACAACACACAACTACAAACAAAACCAAAGGAAACTTATAGGTGACATAATCAGGACAGGATAAGACACAGGTGCACCAAACAGACAAAACCAAACAAACATAGAGAACATCAAACGGTAGCAGCTAGTACTCCGGGGACGACGAACGCCGAAGCCTGCCCGAACAAGGAGGAGGAGCAGTCTCGGAGGAATTCGTGACAGTACCCCCCCCCCTTGACGCGCGGCTCCAGCCGTGCGCCGACCCCGGCCTCGGGGACGGCCAGGAGGACGTGGAGCAGGGCACGTAGGATGACTACGATGGAACTCAGTCAGGAGGGATGGATCTAAAATGTCCCTCCGAGGCACCCAGCACCGTTCCTCCGGACCGTATCCCTCCCACTCCACGAGATATTGTAGACCCCCCATCCGACGTCTCGAATCCACAATGGACCGTACTGAGTACGCCGGAGCCCCCTCGATGTCCAGTGGGGGCGGAGGGGTCTCCCTTATCTCACTCTCCTGGAGTGGACCAGCTACCACCGGCCTGAGGAGAGACACATGGAATGAGGGGTTAATATGATAGTCATTGGGCAGTTGCAAGTCCTCAGGACTTTAAATCGCCCCACAAACCGCCGGCCAAGCTTCCGGCAGGGCAGGCGAAGGGGCAGGTTTCGAGTCGAGAGCCAGACTCGATCTCCAGGGGTGTAGACTGGACCCTCACTGCGGTGGAGGTCGGCGCTCGCCTTCTGCCTGCGGATGGCCCGCTGCAGATGGACATGGGCAGCGTTCCACGTCTCCTCCGAGCGCCAAAACCACTCATCCACCGCAGGAGCCTCGATCTGGCTTTGATGCCATGGTGCCAGAACCGGCTGATAACCTAACACACACTGAAAAGGGGTCAGGTTAGTAGAGGAGTGGCGGAGAGAGTTCTGAGCCATCTCTGCCCAGGGGATATACCCCGACCACTCCTCCGGCCGGCCCTGGCAATAGGATCTCAGAAACCTACCCACATCCTGGTTTACTCTCTCCACCTGCCCATTACTCTCCGGGTGATAACCCGAGGTAAGGCTAACCGAGACCCCCAAGCGTTCCATGAACGCCCTCCAGACTCTAGAGGTGAACTGGGGACCCCGATCAGACACTATATCCTCGGGAACCCTGTAGTGCCGGAAGATGTGGATGAACAAAGCCTCAGCGTCTGTAGGGCAGTAGGGAGACCCGGCATAGGAATGAGACGACAGGCCTTAGAGAACCGATCCACAACGACCAGAATAGTGGTATTCCCCTGGGAGGGGGGAAGGTCCGTGACAAAGTCCACCGAGAGGTGAGGCCACGGCCATGGTGGAACGGGCAGGGGTTGTAACTTCCCCCTGGGCAGGTGTCTAGGCGCCTTACACTGAGCGCACACCGAGCAGGAGGAGACATAAACCCTCACGTCCTTAGTCAATGTTGGCCACCAGTATTTAACACTAAGGCAGTGCACTGTCCGGCCAATACCTGGATGTCCAGAGGAGGGTGACGTATGAGCCCAATAAATGAGCCGATCACGGACCTCGAGCGGCACGTACGTCCGACCCACTGGACACTCTGGGGGAGTAGGGTCGGTGCGTAACGCCCGCTCAATTTCCGCATCGACCTCCCATACCACCGGTGCCACCAGACAAGACTCCGGCAGTATGGGAGTGGGCTCAATGGACCTCTCCTCTGTGTCATACCGCCGGAACAGGGCGTCTGCCTTACCGTTCTGGGACCCTGGGATGTACGTGATCTTAAAAACTAACCGGGTCAGGAACATGTTCCACCTAGCCTGACGAGGGTTTAATCTCCTAGCTGCCCAGATGTACTCCAGGTTTCGATGGTCGGTCGGAATGAGAAAAGGGTGTTGAGCCCCCTCAAGCCAATGCCTCCACACCTTTAGGGCTTGAACCACGGCTAACAGCTCCCTGTCCCCTACATCATAATTACGCTCCGCCGGGCTGAGCTTCTTAGAATAAAAAGCGCAGGGACGGAGCTTAGCGACAGTACTGCCCCAATACCGGCCTCTGACGTGTCCACCTCTACCTGGAACGCTAAAGCGGGGTCCGGGTGCGCCAGCACCGGAGCCGAGGTGAACAGGTCTTTCAGTTTACAAAACGCCCTGTCCGCCTCAGCATACCACTGCAAACGCACCGGGCCCCCCTTCAGCAGGGAAGTAATGGGAGCTGCTACCTGTCCAAAACCCCGGATAAACCTCCGGTAGTAATTGGCAAAACCCAAAAACTGCTGCACCTCTTTCACAGTGGTTGGGGTTTGCCAGTTACGCACGGCTGACACACGGTCAATCTCCATCTTCACCCCTGACGCGGACAACCGATGACCCAAGAAGGAGATGGACTCCTGGAAAAACAGACATTTCTCTGCCTTGACATACAAGTCATGCTCCAACAGTCTACCCAACACTCGGCGTCCCAGGGCTACATGCTCGGCACTTGTAGCAGAGTACACTAATATGTCGTCAATGTACACTACCACTCCCTGCCCATGCAGGTCCCGGAAGATCTCGTCCACAAATGATTGGAAGACTGAAGGAGCATTCATTAACCCGTATGGCATGACAAGATACTCATAATAACCTGAGGTGGTACTAAATGCTGTCTTCCATTCATCCCCCTCCCTAATGCGCACCAAGTTATAAGCGCTCCTGAGATCCAGTTTTGTGAAGAACCGCGCCCCGCGTAATGATTCAGTCATACTCGCAATCAGAGGAAGAGGGTAACTGTATTTCACAGTGATCTGATTGAGACTACGATAATCAATACACGGGCGCAAACCTCCATCTTTCTTTTTCACAAAAAAGAAACTTGAGGACGCAGGGGAAGTGGAGGGCCGTATGTATCCCTGTTTCAGGGACTCAGCTATGTATGTCTCCATAGCCACCGTCTCCTCTTGAGACAGAGGATACACATGCCCCCTGTCTGGAGGTTTATCGCACAATCTCCCTGCCTATGAGGTGGCAATCGTGTCGCCCTCGTCTTGCTGAACACGAGTGCCAAATCCTCATACTCAGGGGAGAACTCCGCATAGCTGATGGTGGCGGCGTCTATTCCCCTCCATTCGGCGTTGGCCCACTCCAACGCCTTGCCGGAGAGACAGGAGATGAGGGCGGACACGCTCTCGTATCCCGAGGGCGGCGGATGTATGGTGGCCAGGTAGAGTTCCACCTGCAGGAGGAACCCCTGACACCCGGCTGCTGTGCCATCATACGCCCTCGGGAGCGAGAGCCGAATCCCACTGGATTCCGGAACCAGTCTGGTGGGACTGGCCGATGGTGGTGGTACTGTAGGAGGAGGTGTGGGCACGCCTCCCCTTTCCCATCGGCGCAGGGTGTTCATGACTTCCTGCATGGCGGAGCCGAGTTGCTGGATCCTGGCGTCCTGGCAGCTGACCCGATCCTCCAGCAACTCGGTCGCCGCCGCTGCTCCTGCTGACTCCATGAATGGTGTGTTGTTCTGTCAGTATTTTGAGGTGGATGTGGTGTTGGAGTCAGGCGCAGGACACAGAAGCTTAGTCCAAACAGACTTTACTTGTCAGAAAATGACAATAAAAAAATAAAGGGCCTCAAACAACGGAGGCGAGCGATACGCAAAACAGTGCGTAAAACACTAAACATAAGCGATGCGCAAACAGCGCGTCAATACACTTAATAACAAGATAGCAAAATCCAAAACCCCAACGGACAGGCGTACAACAACACGCAACTACAAACAAAACCAAAGGAAACTTATAGGTGACATAATCAGGACAGGATAAGACACAGGTGCACCAAACAGACAAAACCAAACAAACATAGAGAACATCAAACGGTAGCAGAGTACTCCGGGGACGACGAACGCCGAAGCCTGCCCGAACAAGGAGGAGGAGCAGTCTCGGCGGAATTCGTGACAATCACAAAGGTTAGGTGCTTTGGAAAATGTTTGTAATACCTTGATGGATTTTATATAACATAATCCGTGCTTGGATCTGCAAAACCTAAAGACGATTAATTCCAGTATCCAGCAGAAATTTTAGAATTTCTTATGCTCACTGCTGATCTATCCACTCTCCATCTGTCGTCTTCAGTCTTCTATAAACAGACAGTTTTGGGGAACTATAGTTGCCTAAACAACTTCTCCCATACGCTTTTTTCCCCTTCTACACTTGTGTTTGTCAATGTTTTTCAAGATACACAGTTCACCATTTGTTTGGGTTCACATATAATGAGACTGTCCCTGTGTTGTTACTGCTGAATGCCAACCTCTCACTAACCCCCCATGTCCCTTCTCTCTCTCTCTCTCCTCAGGGTGAATTCGATAAGCTCTGTCACTTCTGCTATTCGCGCACCGATTCCCTCCTCCTCAGTGTGGTCAGCCCTGCCTTCGTCCAGAACGTCTGGGAGAAGTGGGTCCCCGAGATCCGCCGCCGCTGCCCACTCGCGCCCATGCTGCTGGTGGGAACCCAGTGTGACCTGCGCAAGCACGTCAAGGTGCTGATCGAGCTGGCCTGCCGGAGGGAGTGGCCCGTGGCCAAGGTGGACTGCTCGGCGCACAGCCAGAAGAACCTGAAGGAGGTGTTTGACGCGGCCATCGCCGTGGGGATGAAGCATGCCAATAGGAGGGCGCGGCGGGGACTCTTCAGATCCTCCGATGTCCTGGAATGCGACAAGTCAATGATGTGTCAGTGAAAAACAGTAACTTAGTTACTTTGTAGTCCAGTTTGCACTTATGTGTTTGGTGAGATATGGTGCAAGAATGTGTGACCTATGTTTGGCCGTTTCCTACCATTGGTTCCTGAGATCTGAAGGGCGTTACAAACTTCTGATATGCAGAGATTACACAGTCTCTTCTGCAAATGAAAAAGAGAACAAGTTATGACAAATTATGAACATTTAATATACAAAATTACTCAGTCACACACATCTAGGCCTCTATGTCGCTTTTTGAACTCTGAATGATGAGTTGTGAGTGACTTCCTTGCTGGTGACTCCTCCCCCTGGTGGCAGGCCAGGTATGTCCTCAGAGACCAGAAACGTCATCACGTACAGCAGGTCAGGGTCCTTGTCCCGCGACCTTAGCAAATTGACCATCTCTACACACACAGACAAAGTGAGTGAGTTATGTAATGATTGGTCACTGTCCTCAGATGGGAGAATTAAGCTGCCATTGTCTCAGAGTTCTTGTTATTGTTATACATTTTCATTTTGATGTGAATTCATATTAATATGAAAGCCTACTGTGAGTGAGTTCAAGCCAAGATGGTTTGTTGGCGTATGATTCATTTCAATAATGTAATTTGTTACCCCACACATTGAGAAGCTAAATGAAATGCCATGAAAAAAAGCTAACATAAAGCTGTCACTATTGATATTGAAGTTTACTTGAGGAATAATATGATGATGAGGAATATTCTTTGCTTGCTTAATGTTAAAGTGAACAGAGAAGAAAATAAGTGTCATTATGACATCACAATGGAGAACAGGACTTTGAAGTCTCAGAGTGGGAAGATATTTACATGACACCGCAGGTGGAGGGATATTGTGATGTCATAATTGTGTACTGACTGAATTTTGGAAATGGAAGCTGAGAAGCAAGGTTCATTGTGTGCAACAACATAACCCATCTAGCTTAAGTACAGATTCAAATGAGGTATGCCTGTTCTGTTGCCATTGGTAAAGTGAGGCTCTTCTTGGCCAGGTTAATAGGCCTAGCTATCAGCTGGTGTGGCCCTGAGACCCTGACAGTCTAACACAGACACTCACCCATAATCCTTCACTGTGTTGCCCTCACCTCTCTCCCTCTCTCTATAGCTCCCTCTCATAATCCTGCTATTTAGCGGTCAGGTACAGGTTGAGCCAGTGTAAGACCTGAATAAGATAACTGCTTACATAATGCTTGGTACATTAGGTATGTAATGATGTAGGCCCTTCAACACACACCCTGTCCAGTGCTGAGTGCCATCATGTACTCCCCCTTCACAAAGGTGGTGACCCTTGTGGCCTAAATAATTATCGCCCTATTTCTAAACTTTCTTGCCTAGCTAACATGTTAGAATCCTTGATTAATTCTCAGCTAAGATCTTTCTTATCTTTGAAATGTATTCTAAAATGTACATCAGTCGGGTTTTAGACCAGGTCATAGCGCTATCTCTGCTGCTTCTCTAGTTATAAATGTTGTGGTTAACTGTATGGATAAAAGGCAACATTGTGCTGCCCTATTCATTGACCTGTCAAAGGCTTTCGATACTGTTGATCACTCACTTCTAATTCTGAGGTTTTCCTCAATTGGCCTAGACCAGGCTGCATGTAACTGGTTTAAAAATTACTTGACAGATAGAACTCAATGTGTATCTACTGATGGTGTTAAATTAGGTTTTCTGGATATCACGAAAGGTGTCCCGCAGGGGTCGATTCTGGGTCCTGTACTTTTTACATGAACAATATCGACTTGTCTGTAACAAAAGTGTAACCTGCACTGTATGCCGATGATACTGTTGTGTATGCTATTGCCTCCACGGTTGACCAGACTCTATCTGAACTACATTCTGCCTTCATTGTATCACAGAAAAACATTATTGAACTGAAATTAGTATTGAATGCAGGATTAACGAAGTATATATTGTTCTCTACACGCTTAGAAAAAAAGTACTATCTAGAACCTAAAAGGGTTCTTCGGCTGTCCCCATAGGAGAACCCTTTGAAAAACCCTTTTTGGTTCCAGGTAGAACCTTTTTGAGTTCCATGTAGAACCTTTTACACAGAGGGTTCTACATAGAACCCCAAAGAGTTCTACCTAGGGCTGTGGCGGTCACGAAATCTCGTCAGCCGGTGATTGCCAAGCAAATAACTGTTGGTCTCACGGTAATTGACTGTGAATTAACATAAACACATTTAACATCTCCTGGCTTCCACACATTGCCTACAAGCCACTGATGCAGACCTTTGGAAATCTACATTTAAAAAAGTATAATAAATCCATGTAATATAGCCTACACCTTCACAATAAAACCGTGATTTATTTTAGACAGGTCTAAAGAAACATGATATGAAGAAAATGTAGTCCATTTCAGAAGAACAGACTACTATACTCTGAGACCCCGTGTAGCTCAGTTGGTAGAGCATGGCGCTTGCAACGGCAGCGTTGTGGGTTCGATTCCCACGGGGGGCCAGTATGAAAAAAAAAGGTATGCACTCACTAACTGTAAGTCGCCCTGGACAAGAGCGTCTGCTAAAATGACTAAAATGTCAAATGTAAATGTTAGATCCTTATCTGGCTATGGCTGTGGGCTACACTAGTTCATTTAGCAGACAAGATTTGCTTAGAATTCTGTGGCATTATTTTATAGTATGAAGGAAGGATATTTTCTACAAAGGATTTGAGGGAGTGCGCACATGCGGCTATTCTGTGATGAGCGGTTAACAAAGAAATAGGTATTCCTATATGCTTAATTTAGAGTTATTAATGTAACTTTAGTTTTTCTAAACGTTGGGCAATTGTTTTTATTTTCAATTCATTGTAAAGCTGCATGATCAAATCAAATCAAATTGTATTTGTCACATGCGCCGAATACAACAGGTGTAGACCTTACAGTGAAATGCTTACTTACAAGCCCTTAACCAACAATGCAGTTTTAAGAAAGAACACCAAATAAAATCACAAACAAATACAATATAAAATAATACGAAATAAAAGTAACAAATAATTAAAGAGCAGCAGTAAAAATAACAATAGTGAAGCTATATACAGGGGGTACTGGTACCGAGTCAATGTGCGGGGGCACCGGTTAGTCAAGGTAATTGGGGTAATATGTACATGTAGGTAGAGTTATTAAAGTGACTATGCATAGATAATAAACAGAGAGTAGCAGCAGCGTAAAAGAGGGGTGGGGGGGGCAATGCAAATAGTCTGGGTAGCCATTTGATTAGATGTTCAGAAGTCTTATGGCTTGGGGGGTAGACTTGGCGCTACGGTACCGCTTGCCATGCGGTAGCAGAGAGAACAGTCTATGACTAGTGTGGCTGGAGTCTTTGACAATTTTTAGGGCCTTCCTCTGACACTGCCTGTTATAGAGGTCCTGGATGGCAGGAAGCTTGGCCCCAGTGATGTACTGGGCCGTACGCACTACCCTCTGTAGTGCCTTGCGGTCGGAGGCCGAGCAGTTGCCATACCAGGCAGTGATGCAACCAGACAGGATGCTCTCGATGGTGCAGCTGTAGAAACATTTGAGGATCTGAGGACCCATGCCAAATCTTTTCAGTCTCCTTAAAGGGAATAGGTTTTTTCATGCCCTCCTCACGACTGTCTTGGTGTGCTTGGACCATGTTAGTTTGTTGGTGATGTGGACACCAAGGAACTTGAAGCTCCCAACCTGCTCCACTACAGCCCCATCGATGAGAATGGGGGTGTGCTCGGTCCTCTTCTTATTCCTGTAGTCCACAATCATCTCCTTTGTCTTGATCACGTTGAGGGAGAGGTTGTTGTCCTGGCACCACACGGCCAGGTCTCTGACCTCCTACCTATAGGCTGTCTCGTCGTTGTCGGTGATCAGGCCTACCACTGTTGTGTCATCGGCAAACTTAATGATGGTGTAGGAGTCGTGCCTGGCCATGCAGTCATGAGTTAACAGGGAGTACAGGAGAGGACTAAACATGCACCCTTGAGGGGCCCCTGTGTTGAGGATCAGCGTGGCAGATGTGTTATTGCCTACCCTTACCACCTGGGGTCGGCCCGTCAGGAAGTCCAGGATCCAGTTGCAGAGGGAGGTGTTTAGTCCCAGGGTCCTTACCTTAGTGATGTGCTTTGAGGGCACTATGGTGTTGAACGCTAAGCTGTAGTCAACAAACAGCATTCTCACGTAGGTGTTCCTTTTGTCTAGTTGGGAAAGCGCAGCGTGGAGTGCAATAGAGATTGCATCATCTGTGGATCTGTTGGAGCGGTATCCTTCCCTCCTCTCTTCCATAAGGTAATCCCTGGGAGTGGGTGCTTTTATTTGTCCTGTTACACACAAGTGTGTAATAGAAATGTGTTTTTTTTGCACATTCCCATGCCCTCTGAGACACCCGCAGGCAATGGGGTCACGGCCAGGGTCGGCTTTGTATAGCGCCCCTGGAGCAATTAGGGCTAAGTGCCTTTCTCAAGGGTACAACAACATCATTTGCTTGTTTTTTCACCTTATCAGCTCCAGTATTCGAGGCCCAGTGGTCTAACCTCGAGAATTCCTGCCGCTGATGTGTAGGTGATTGAAGCCAAAAAATTGCTCGTAATGGAAACATGTGGCAGAAACTATTAGGGGAGAACTTGGCAAGAAACTATTTGGGGGAGAACTTGGCAAGAAATTAGAAGAAGGTGAGCAAGAAAATGCAACTTTCATATGTTTCCTTTCAGGCTCTTGTCGTGGGAGATGGTCCGACTCCTTGGACACCTTCCCAGTTAATCATACCGTTCTCAAATGGACCACACAGCCTCTTCCTGTATGATGTAAGAAGCTCTGACGTTTATGTTTGATGACGAAATACAATCACACAACCCTGACATTCTTTGACCTCTGACTCCAACAACTGCCTCTACACGGCTGATTGGAATAGTGTGATTTCTGAGATTAAGTTTCAAAATCTTATCAAAATCAATAACAGAGATCATGTCTGAAATTTGATTTCTCTGACAGATGTAACTCTCACTCTCCGTCTCTCTTTCTCTCTTTCCAGTTCCCTCTCGGACAGGTTTTGGGATCACGGCCCCATCCACAACAGAGGGCAAAGTCCTCGTGGTAATCTACGGCCTGCTGGGCTGCTCTGCCACCATTATCTTCTTCAACCTTTTCCTGGAGAGGGTCATCACCATTTTTGGGCTTCCTCATGCGATGGCACCACCGGAAGAGAACACACAACATCAGGCTAGGGGGCAACGGCAACCAACACGAGGGAGAAGGAGAGGAAAGAGGGGTGGAGGCCCTCTGTGTATTCGGTCACTCTCAAACTGCCTCCTCATGCTCCTGGGGGTATGCTGTACCTACTCCCTTTTCAATGCCCTGTCTGTCATCATCAAACGGGCTGAACTGGATCCTGAGTCAGCTGATCCATCTGCGTAGCTGCCTGTGCCACGGCCGACATCGTAGAGGACCTCTACGATGCCACTGTTTCCCATGTTCCTGCCAAACCCGGTTGATAAATGCTTTTGTGCTGATGCCACAGTGGAAACCCTGTGCCATAGGTACATGGACTTGATCACCACCAAGGCAGGAGCGATGGGGCAACATCGGCACAGGCTTCCCGGATGGGATGTCAAACATTTTGGACCACCATGACTGGAATGACAGCTCCTGACTGGAGGGACACAGGCTACAAAATGTCCGGCATGGTTTGCCTGCATATAGACAACACTGTTAATTTAAAGCTGCAATATGTAACTTTTTGGGCGACGTGACAAAATTCACATCGAAATGTGAGTTATAGATCTGTCATTTTCATTGAAAGCATGTCTAAGAAGCGATAGATCTGTTCTATGTGCACTATTTCTATGTTTCCCGTCTTTAAGTTTTGGTTTTGCATCTTTTACTTTCGGTTTTGTACACCAACTTAAAAAAAAAAAATCATCTTTAAAAAAACGTTGCAATGTATCCTTAATTTTCTCAATGTATCGTGAAACCAGTTTTACTCTCCCCATAAAGTCCATTAGGCCTGTGATGATGGTTGTGTTTCAGTACTTAAGAGTTTACTGTGGAAAACCCCTGAGGCTCCCCCAAAACATAGCAGTTTCTGCAGCACACTCTGACACTCTCCTCCTTTCGGTGCCAAGGTGTCTGGCTTCAGAACACTCTGACCCTGACCTTTTTCAACTGACCTCTGATTGGTTGACATCTGGTGATCAGAATCACCAGACATATCTAGCCAGTCAGCTGCAGGCAATTACCTGGGTCTGACCAGTTTAGGCTGCTCTGACCTCAGTTTCCTACAGCTGCACAGAGAGTGCATGCTCCTGTATCTCTGTGCTGCTACTTTCACCTCTGGACTTCTCCCATCCTTGGACTACCACCTGTGGACACCTTTCTTGCTACAACCTCTGAACACCTTTAGTGTTTGTGCATCACTGCCCAGAGTAAGTGGACTTTGTGGAGCCAGAGTGCCTTTACAGTTATCTTATGTGCATATTGTGTGTTACAATGTCATAAGTCCATTACTACATTTTACATTTACATTTTAGTCATTTAGCGGACACTCTTATCTAGAGCGACTTTACAGTTTTAGTGAGTGCATACATTTTTGTTGTTGTTGGGTGTAACTATGTTAGTATTTCACCTGTATGTACATTTAATAGCTTTATGGTCGAGCTATGAGTACTTTTTCAGTGCCCCGCGTTTCCACTGCTCCAGAGTCCAAAGGAGGCAAGCTTTACTCCAGCCGAATATTGGCAATGCACATTGTCGTGATGTGCTTTTCATTGTTGTGATGCCTATTATTTATCGAATAATTACAGTTCAAGTCGGAAGTTTACATACAGTTAGGTTGGAGTCATTAAAACTCGTTTTTCAACCACTCCACAAACTATGGTTTTGGCATGACACAAGTACATTTTCCAACAATTGTTTACAGACAGATTATTTCACTTATAATTCACTGTATCACAATTCCAGTGGGTCAGAAGTTTACATACACAAAGTTGACTGTGCCTTTAAACAGCTTGGAAAATTCCAGAAAATAATGTCATGGCTTTAGAAGCTTCTGATAGGCTAATTGACATCATTTGAGTCAATTGGAGGTGTACCTGAGGATGTATTTCAAGACCTACCTTCAAACTCAGCGCCTCTTTGCTTGACATCATGGGAAAATCAAAAGAAATCAGCCAAGACCTCAGAAAAAATATTGTAGACTTCCACAAGTCTGGTTCATCCTTGGGAGCAATTTCCAAACGCCTGAAGGTACCACGTTCATCTGTACAAACAATAGTACGCAAGTATAAACAGCATGGGACCACACAGCCGTCATACCGCTCAGGAAGGAGACGCATTCTGTCTCCTAGAGATGAACGTACTTTGGTGCGAAAAGTGCAAATCAATCCCAGAACAACAGCAAAGGACCTTGTGAAGATGCTGGAGGAAACAGGTACAAAAGTACCTATATCCACAGTAAAACAAGTCCTATATCGACATAACCTGAAAGGCCGCTCAGCAAGGAAGAAGCCACTGCTCCAAAACTGCCATAAAAAAGCCTGACTACGGTTTGCAACTGCACATGGGGACAAAGATCTTACTTTTTGGAGAAATGTCCTCTGATCTGATGAAACAAAAATATAACTGTTTGGCCATAATGACCATCGTTATGTTTGGAGGAAAAAGGGGATGTTTGCAAGCCAAAGAACACCATCCCAACCATGAAGCACGGGGGTGGCAGCATGCTGTGGGGGTGCTTTGCTGCAAGAGGGACTGGTGCACTTCACAAAATAGATGACATCATGAGGAAGGAAAATTTGGTGGATATATTGAAGCAACATCTCAAGACATCAGTCAGGAAGTTAAAGCTTGGTCGCAAATGCGTCTTCCAAATGGACAATGACCCCAAGCATCCTTCCAAAGTTGTGGCACAATGGCTTAAGGACAACAAAGTAAAGGTATTGGAGTGGCCATCACAAAGCCCTGACCTCAATCCTATAAAAAATGTGTGGGCAGAACTGAAAACACGTGTGCGAGCAAGGAGGCCATCACACCTGACTCAGTTACACCAGCTCTGTCAGGAGGAATGGATCAAAATTCACCCAACTTATTGTGGGAAGCTTTTGGCTACCCAAAACGATTGATCCTGTCATGAGCCCTCTCACTCCACCGGGTTACCACCTTTATTTGTTTCCACTATCTTCCACTCTCTCTACTCAGCCTAACTAGCTCCACCTGTCCCTGCTCTGCTCTGCTCTAATTACTCTGCCAGCTGCGCTGCATTACCCACTAACCTCTCCCAGTATTTAAAGCCCTGTCTTTCAGCTCTCCTTTGTCAGATCGTCTGCAAAGCTCACACCCGGAACCTGTTTGCTCACGCTTCTGGCTCACCCTTGTTTTGTGACCCCGGACCTGCCTGATTCTTGGATACTCTTCTGCCCCAGGAAAACCAGACCTGCTTTCTGCCATAACGACTCCTGACTACTCTTCAATCCCGGTAACTCTGACCAGCCTTCTGCCTTGCTACAACGTATTTGGATTTCCCTTGAACTGTACTGCTGCCTTGTTTCATCCGCCCCGTTGTGTCTGTGTTTCCCCCCCCCAGGACTTCTGGACCACCCACCACCGGCGTCATAGGACGCATCGCTGCCACTGGGGGGGGCACAGACCCAGCACATTGGACGGGATCCCTGTTACCCCTGGAGCCTTCACTCACTCCCTACTTCCCTTTTCCCTTAAGTTTTAATAAACTTTCTGGTGTGACGCAATTGTGGTCCTCTGGTCGTCTGTCTGAAACGTGACAGATCCAAGTTAAACAATTTAAAGGCAATGCTACCAAATACTAATTGAGTGTATGTAAACTTCTGACCCACTGGGAATGTGATGAAATAAATAAAAGCTGAAATAAATCATTCGCTCTACTAATATTCTGACATTTCACATTCTTAAAATAAAGTGGTGATCCTAACTGACCTAAGACAGGGAATTGTTACTAGGATTAAATGTCAGGAATTGTGAAAAACTGAGTTTAAATGTATTTGGCTAAGGTGTATGTAAACTTCCGACTTCAATTGTACCTACTATGTTTAATTGTTACTAGATTAAATAATCATGTAACAATTAACTCATTAGGAATTTGGGGCACCACAGGAAAAGTTGTTTAACGAGTTACCGTTTCCCGAAATAACTCAAAAGATATCTAGATATCTCTTATCATTTAACAGTCATTTATTAATAATTTACCTCATATCAGTCTCATTCCGAAAGTCGTAGGCTCTTTAAATTTGCACAAACCCAGGTCTTACTGATCATTCCGTACCACAGAAATTGATGTAATTATTTATTTAGTAACTAATTAAAAATGTTAACACAAGATACAAACACATACACGGTATAGGTAGGGATTAGAAACTTAATACAATGAAAACGGGTTCCTAGCGGACTAACAATATGACATTTGTTACAAAAGATGGAGAGTTAAAGAGAGAGAGAGAGAGAGAAAAACACTTGGATACACATGGACCTATGCTCATAGTAATCCTAATACTTTGCCAGAACTGCCGCCCGTTTGGTAAGAAGTAATGCATGTATTTACGTGTTTGTCTTCGTCATCTCTGTTGGACCCAGGCCTTCGTGAGAAGGGTCGATTGGGCCTTCTCTTTTCGGATGGCCTTTTAGATGTAAGGCTCAGATGTAAGGCTCAGATTGTCCACAAGAAGTCACAATGTCCTTCTTCTTAGTCATCTGTTTACTTTCACTCATTCTGGAAGTGGTCTTCTGATGATGGCTAATCAGCTGTGTCGATGATACCCTGTGGGGTGATGAGAGCAGTGTAGTAGACGATGGTTTGAAGAGAGTAACAGGATGGTCCCACTTAAATTCACCTTCTGTGAGCTTGTGTGGCCTACCACTTTGCTGCTGAGCCGTTGTTGCTCCTAGACGTTTCCACTTCACAATAACAGCACTTACAGTTGACCAGGCAGCTCTAGCTGGGCAGAAATTTTGTCAAACTGACTTTGTCTACTGCCAATGTTTGTATATGGAGATTGCATGGCTGTGTGCTCGATTTTATACACCTGTCAGCAACGGGTGTGGCTGAAATAGCTAAATCCACTAATTTGAAGGGATGTCGACATAATTTTGTATATATAGTGTATCAGTGTATTTGTAGATGTTTTAAATTGTCAAAATAACTAAAAGCGGCATTGTAAGACAAGGCTGAAACTATATGTTGTCAACAGACCCATTTCAGTCCACTCAGAATGTTTAGACAGTGCCCCAGTGGGAAGTGGATGTGCTAAACTCAAGGCCAATGTTCTAGAGTGCTGCTTGATCTAAATGTCTGTCAGGGAGAAAATGTGCCCAATGATTTACGAATTACAATTACTTTCTATAGTGGTGTTTGCTTTATTTGGGCTATATGCTGTACTATGTTAGTTTTGGCTGCAAAGTTAGTTCTGTACGCCCCACCCCGCAACCAGTTAGAGTAGAGAGGCTTCTTTTCTGTGTAATAGTGTCTCAGACAGCGGGTAACGAGAGCTCGCTTTGGATCTCTTTTCTATCGTTTGGCACTGTTTGGCAGAGGAGGTGTACACAGGTCTCCTGGTAAAAAAGTCAGACTTTCTTTTCTAGCGTGTGGACTTTCTTTTGTGATTTTGTGTATGTGCATGCTACGGGTTGTGAGTGCATGAATTTGTCTGTATGTGTGTCTGTTATTTGTATGTGTGTTGATACCCTGCTGACTGGTGTGTCTCTCTCCCAGTGCTGTAGAGGACCGACGGGTGCTGTGGTGTAGACAGACCTCGTGTGGTAGAGGATGGGCACCGGTGCTCCCCAGGTGGCCACTTTTATCTGCCATCCCGTGAAATGGTGTGAGGATCACGCGTTCATCTCAACGATCCAGGCAAACACTGCTGTGGAGTGGAGACTTACGACCCTCTGGATGAAATCTGCTGCAACGGACTCAAGTGAGTTGCTCTGTAGGGTGGAAACTGTTAAGGTTGGTACAGATGTAAGATCTTAATTTGAGCCCGCAGCAATAGGAAATATTGATTATTATGTGGATGATAATGAATGGACATTTTTGTAATGGTTGGTACATTTTTCGTAAGGGAAAATCCAGTCTGAAATTTCAAAGTGGAAATGACAGAACTTCAGAAGCCTTTTTAAAACTAAAATACACTACACGTTTTACATTAAATTCTCCTGCAACAGGGTGATCAAATTAAGATCCTACGTCTGTGGTTGAACTTAGCCAGGTAGTTTATCCCTAAACACAGAGGATTCTCACGCTCAGTCTCAAGCACAGTCTACAAGCACAGTTCATAGTGCCTAAGGGCTAACGATTAGATCACTTTATCAACAGCAGAATGTTTCCAGCCTCCCTTAAGTGTTGATGAGTGTGTTTGTGTGTGCGTTCATGAGTGTTTGTACTATAATGAACTGTGGAAAGTATTATCTTGGTTCTGAGAGACGTTGACGCAAGTAGGAAAAAAAAACATCTGGACAATCCCAGTCCCCATATGTGAGAGGATTGTGTGGGCGGCGGTGGCTCAATGAAATGCATAATGTCTCTAGAGAGACAAAGACTGCTGTCAGGTCTTTCCCATTTCCCTTTTTCCTGTCAAAGGCATTCAGACAGTTTGACAGCCAGAAATGGTGGGCGGGGGGGGGGGGGGGGGGGGGGGTCTATTTTGCTGTAAGTCTAGACACGTGGTCGAACACATCATTAACAAATAATGCTCAAATGTTAAAGTCTAAAACCCAGACATTCAAACTGTGGGTCACGACCCCTAGTGCTTTCCCCAGGAAGCTGCATGGCAGTCTGAATTTATACCCATTGCTTAACACTTTGGCAATGAAACAAGCGGATAATCTGTGAGAACAGTGCAGTGGTGACTCACTTGAAGCTGAGGGAGTGAACATTATCGAGGGAGTAGGCGCTAATGAGACCCTCGGATAGCCACTTCGACCGAGCCAGCAAGGCTGCCGGCACTTGAGCCAAGTGGTATCCCAACACGCATCGCGTTATGTTTTGGAGTTTGCACAATTTCAAAGAGTCTATTTTGTTTGTGTCTGATTTCGAGGTATGACACGTAACAAAATAAATACATCCCAAATTAAATTTGTAACTGTTACTGAGGTTTATATATTGTAAAATGACAGGGGGAATTTGTTCATTTGAATTTCATACTTGTTTTATTATTTGAATGTGGAACATGAATTGCATCATTCAAGTAATGAGTTTGTCCTGAAGCTGAAGGGTTTATTGATCCCCTCGCCAGTCTAGACGTCACCCTCTGAATTTCGTCAGCAACACGTGACAATGGAGGGCCCCCGAGCGGGTTGGTATATTTTGCTGATGGGTTTCTCTTAATTGCCTAAATGGAAGGCCTCCCCTCTTGAGGACGGCAGTGTCTGCTGGTTTTGGTCATCTCTCTACATTGCTCAATCTGTTGATTCAAGTAATCAATGGGCTAAAACTCATCATTCTTATAGCTAGAACTCTCCAGATTCCATTTCCTTGAGTGCTATTCAGTAAAATCCAATCAATTATAAATAATCATCAGTACATGGCCATGAGTTCGCCCAACATGACAGCACAATAGGCATCAAATTGGAGAGATGATATGTGCTCTTTCGGTATTGGGAGGTCAAAAAAACGTATCTGGAGGGAAGGCCTATGACCCCAGCAGTGGCAAGGTGAAGTGCTGTACAGGGACTCTGTACAACCTGCAGGTTCAGGACAGGCTCTCAGAGGAGACCCATTGCTGCGGGAATGTCCTGATGGAGGCCGGCTCCACCCAGACCTGCTGCTCTGCCCCAGGGCTAGACCTGCTCTACCCTACCCAGCCAGGGTTCACCTGCTGTGGGCACTGCTACCACAACACCTCTCTGTGTTCTTGCTGCGCGGGGGTCCTGTACCCAAGGCCTGAACCACACACCAGATTCATATCTGATCTCAGCGATCAATACTCCCCTCCCCATACCATCCTCTACAGGTGCTAAAAATCATACATTTAACCATGCTTTGACTCTATACAGTGTTTGCTTACATTTACATTGTTTACAAACAATGGCTTGAAAAATCTTACTTTGTTTTCTGATGGGGTAGGACAGTTGAACTAAGCTCATGAGGCATACATTGAGGGAAAAAAGTATTTGATCCCCTGCTGATTTTGTACATTTGCCCACTGACAAAGACATGATCAGTCTATAATTGTAATGGTAGGTTTATTTGAACAGTGAAGAGTGAGAGACAGAATAACAACAACAAAATTCCAGAAAAACGCATGTCAAAAATGTTATGAATTGATTGGCATTTTAATGAGGGAAATAAGTATTTGACCCCTCTGCAAAACATTACTTAGTACTTGGTGTCAAAACCCTTGTTGGCAATCACAGAGGTCAGACGTTTCTTGTAGTTGGCCACCAGGTTTGCACACATCTCAGGAGGGATTTTGTCCCACTCCTCTTTGCAGATCTTCTCCAAGTCATTAAGGTTTCGAGGCTGACGTTTGGCAACTCGAACCTTCAGCTCCCTCCACAGATTTTCTATGGGATTAAGGTCTGGAGACTGGCTAGGCCACTCCAGGACCTTAATGTGCTTCTTCTTGAGCCACTCCTTTGTTGCCTTGGCCGTGTGTTTTGGGTCATTGTCATGCTGGAATACCCATTCACGACCCATTTTCAATGTCCTGGCTGAGGGAAGGAGGTTCTCACCCAAGATTTGACGGTACATGGCCCCGTCCCTTTGATGCGGTGAAGTTGTCCTGTCCCCTTAGCAGAAAAACACCCCCAAAGCATAATGTTTCCACCTCCATGTTTGACGGTGGGGATGGTGTTCCTGGGGTCATAGGCAGCATTCCTCCTCCTCCAAACACGGCGAGTTGAGTTGATGCCAAAGAGCTCCATTTTGGTCTCAACTGACCACAACACTTTCACCCAGTTCTCCTCTGAATCATTCAGATGTTCATTGGCAAACTTCAGACGGCCCTGTATATGTGCTTTCTTGAGCAGGGGGACCTTGCGGGCGCTGCAGGATTTCAGTCCTTCACGGCGTAGTGTGTTACCAATTGTTTTCTTGGTGACTATGGTCCCAGCTTCCTTGAGATCATTGACAAGATCCTCCTGTGTAGTTCTGGGCTGATTCCTCACCGCTCTCATGATCATTGCAACTCCACGAGGTGAGATCTTGCATGGAGCCCCAAGCCGAGGGAGATTGACAGTTCTTTTGTGTTTCTTCCATTTGCGAATAATCGCAACAACTGTTGTCACCTTCTCACCAAGCTGCTTGGCGATGATCTTGTAGCCCATTCCAGCCTTGTGTAGGTCTACAATCTTGTCCCTGACATCCTTGGAGAGCTCTTTGGTCTTGGCCATGGTGGAGAGTTTGGAATCTGATTGATTGATTGCTTCTGTGGACATGTGTCTTTTATACAGGTAACAAACTGAGATTAGGAGCACTCCCTTTAAGAGTGTGCTCCTAATCTCAGCTCGTTACCTGTATAAAAGACACCTGGGAGCCAGAAATCTTTCTGATTGAGAGGGGGTCAAATACTTATTTCCCTCATTAAAATGCAAATCAATTTATAAAATTTTTGACATGCGTTTTTCTGGATTTTTTTTTCTTCTCACTGTTCAAATAAACCTACCATTAAAATTATAGACTGATCATTTCTTTGTCAGTGGGCAAACGTACAAAATCAGCAGGGGATCAAATACTTTTTTCCCTCACTGTACGTTAAATTCTTCAAGAATCAATTGGTACATAATTAATTTTAAAAGTCAAAACATTGATGTACATATCACAGATTACACCTTTAAACTATCAGTAGATTTTAGTTTCTTTAAAAAAAATAACCATGTTTATGGTCTCTCATGAGTGGCTTGCGAAAGTTTTCACCCCCCTTGTCATTTTTCCTATTTTGTTGCCTTACAACCTGGAATTAAAATTGATTTTTGGGGGGTTTTTCATCATTTGATTTACACAACATGCCTACCACTTTGAATATGCTATTTTTTTTAAATTGTGAAACAAACAAGAAATAAGAGAAAAAAACAGAAAACTTTAGCGTGCATAACTATCCCCCCCCCTCCCCAAAGTCAATACTTTGTAGAGCCACCTTTTGCAGCAATTACAGCTGCAAGTCTCTTGGGGTATGTCTCTATAAGCATGGCACATCTAGCCACAGGGATTTTTGCCCATTCTTCAAGTTGGATGGGTTCCGCTGGTGTACAGCAATCTTTAAGTCATACCACAGATTCTCAATTGGATTGAGGTCTGGGCTTTGACTAGGCCATTCCAAGACATTTAAATGTTTCCCCTTAAACCACTCAAGTGTTGCTTTAGCAGTATGCTTAGGGTCATTGTCCTGCTGGAAGGTGAACATCCGTCCCAGTCTCAAATCTCTGGAAAACTGAAACAGGTTTCCCTCTAGAATTCCCCTGTATTTTACGCCATCCATCATTCCTTCAATTCTGACCAGTTTCCCAGTCCCTGACGATGAAAAACATCCCCACAGCATGATGCTGCCACCACCATGCTTCACTGTGGGGATGGTGTTATCGGGGTGATGAGAGGTGTTGGGATTGCGCCAGACATAGGGGTTTTCTTGATGGCCAAAAAGCTCAATTTTAGACTCATCAGCCCAGAGTACCTTTTTCCATATGTTTGGGGAGTCTCCCACATGCCTTTTGGCGAACACCAAACTTGTTTGCTTCTTTTTTTTTTAAAGCTTTTTTTCTGGCCACTCTTCCGTAAAGCCCAGCTCTGTGGAGTGTACGGCTTAAAGTGGTCCTATGGACAGAAAGTCCAATCTCCGCTGTGGAGCTCTGCAGCTCCTTCAGGGTTATCTTTGGTCTCTTTGTTGCCTCTCTGATTAATGCCCTCCTTGCCTGGTCCGTGAGTTTTGGTGGGCGGCCCGCTCTTGGCAGATTTGTTGATGTGCCATATTCTTTCAATTTTTAAATAATGGATTTAAATGGTGCTCCGTGGGATGTTCAAAGTTTCGGATATTTTTTTATAACCCAACCCTGAGCTGTACTTCTCCACAACTTTGTCCCTGACCTGTTTGGAGAGCTCCTTGGTCTTCATGGTGCCGCTTGCTTGGTGGTGCCCCTTGCTTAGTGGTGTTGCAGACTCTGGGGCCTTTCAGAACAGGTGTATATATACTGAGATCATGTGACAGATCATGTGACACTTAGCTTGCACACATGTGGACTTTATTTAACTAATTATGTGACTTCTGAAGGTCATTGGTTGCACCAGATCTTATTTAGGGGCTTCATAGCAAAGGGGGTGAATAGATATGCACGCAAGTTATTTTATTCATTTCACTTCACCAATTTGGACTATTTTGTGTATGTCCATTACATGAAATCCAAATAAAATTTCATTTAAATTACAGGTTGTAATGCAACAAAATAGGAAAAACGCCAAGGGGGGTGAATACTTTTGCAAGGCACTGTACATACCACATTATCTGATACCTCATAGCACGGGAAGCAGCGTGGAAAGATTGAAAGACCAATAATAAGCTGAAAATAAAAGTGGGCTTCTTCTATAGAAATAGGTCCTGCCTCTTGCTAAATAGTAGAAATGAGATTATTCAGTTTACGTTCCTACTGGTCCCTCGACTATAGCTACATCATCTATATGAACGCAGCTGCCTCTTCATTAAAGCCATTAGATGCACTGCGCATTTATTACGGGTGACAATTTTAGTACTCATCACTGCATTCTCTACCAGAAAGTTGGTTGGCCCTCTTTAATGTGACATAGGTTGATACATTGCTATTTTATCATTTAGAAAGCCATTTTACAAAAAGTCCAACTGTACCTAACATCTTTACGAAACTTTAGACATACAAGTTACCACACCTGCTCTCAGGGATGGCTAACTCTGGAAATTCCTTTGGTCTCTACTGAGTTAGGTAAATCAGCTTTTAGTTTTCTTGCACCTTATTTGTGGAACAATCTTCAAAATGTTGTGTTTTGGTGCCTCTAAGGCAATTCAAAAAGCTGATTTAGGACCTTATTACTGATTAATGCATTTTCTTTTTATGCCTGTGTTTTTCTTTCTGCTTGTATTGATATTTTGATGTGTGTATTTTCTGTAATTTCTGTAATTCAGGGCTCATCGGTAAAAATAGATATTGGTCTCAGTATGACTCCCTGATGAAATAAAGGTTAAATAAAATAAATAAATAAATAAATAAGGGGAAGCAGAACGTTGTTACATGCTCACCCACTCCTACAGGATGCCTCTGAGGTTTGTTCCAGAAATTAAGCAATGCAAAAACATCCCAGGGCACTGGGCCTTTTGGCTTCATCAATTAGCAGAGTAAGTTAAGGAAGTATTGCAAAACACCTGGTAGAAATGAGAGGTAATGCTTATTATGGAGTTGATAACCCGTCAGTTGTGACGAACGAGACTGGATCTGAGGTGTATAGCGTGCAAGGTTGTGTGTTCAAATCTCATCATGGACAACATTAGCATTTGAGGTAATTAGCAACTACTTACTACTTTTTAGCTACTTTGCAACTACTTAGCATGTTAGCTAACCCTTCCCCTAACCTCTTTTAGCTAATCCTTTAACCTAACTCCTAACCTTAAACCTAACCATAATCCCTAGCCTAGCTAATGTTAGCCAGCTAGCTAACGTTAGCGTTTACCACCTAGCCACCTACCTAATGTTAGCAACAACAAATTGGAATTCGTAACATATCACATGTTTTACATATTCGTAACATATTGTACGTTTAGCAAATTCCTAACTTATTGTACGAATTACAATGCGTAACAAAATCTAATCAAATTATATTTGTCACATGCGCAGAACACAAAAGGTGTAGACCTTACTGTGAAATGCTTACTTACAAGCCCTTAACCAACAATGCAGAGTTTTTTTTTAAAGTAAGAAAATATGTGCCAAAAAAACAAACATTTAATAAAGTAAACAAAAAAAAAGTTACACAATAAAATAACATTAACGAGGCTATATACAGGGGGTACCGGTACCGAGTCAATGTGCTGGGGTACAGGTTAGTTGAGGTAATATGTACATGTATGTAGGGTTAAAGTTTCTATGCATAGATAATAAATAGCGAGTAGCAGCAGCGTAAAAAAGGGGGTCAAGGCAAATAGTCCAGGTAGCCATTTGATTAACTATTTAGCAGTCTTATGGCTTGGGGGTAGAAGCTGTTATGGAGCCTCTTGGACCTAGACTTGGCGCTCCGGTAGCACTTGCTGTGTGGTAGCAGAGAGAACAGTCTATGACCTGATGTGGCTGGAGTCTTTGACCATTTTTAGGGCCTTCCTCTTACACTGCCTAGTATAGAGGTCCTGGATGGCAGGAAGCTTGGCCCCAGTGATGTACTGGGCCGTACGCACTACCCTCTGTAGCCGAGCAGTTACCATAAGAAGTGGTGATGCAACCAGTCAGGATGCTCTCGATGGTGTAGATGTAGAACTTTTTGAGGATCTGAGGACCCATGCCAAATCTTTTCAGTCTCCTGGGGGGGAATAGGCATTGTCGTGCCCTCTCTGTCTTGGTGTGTTTGGACCATGATAGTTTGTTAGTGATGTGGACACCAAGGAAATTGAAGCTCTCGACCCACTCCACCACAGCCCCGTCGATGTGAATGGGGGCGTGCTGGACCTCCTTTTCCCGTAGTCCACGATCAGGTCCTTTGTCTTCCTTTGTCTTGCTCACGTTGAGGTAGAGGTTGTTGTCCACACTGCCAGGTCTCTGACCTCCTCCATATAGGCTGTCTCATCGTTGTCGGTGATGAGGCCTACCACTGTTGTATCATCCGCAAACTTAATGTTAGTGATGGGTTTTGAGGGCACTATGGTGTTAAAAGCTGAGCTGTAGTCAACGAACAGCATTCTCACGTAGGTGTTCCTTTTGTCTAGTTGGGAATGGGCAGCGTAGAGTGCAATAGAGATTGCGTCATCTGTGGGTCTGTTGGAGCGGTATGCGAATTGTAGTGGGTCTAGGGTTTCTGGGATGATGGTGTTGATGTGAGCCATGACCAGCCTTTCAACTGTTGGAACATATTGTACGAATTGCAATTCGTAACATATCATACGAAATGGATGATGGACATCCACAAATTAATACATACCATACGAAATGTAACATATCATAGTAACTGGAGTGTCTCGGATTTACATACAGAATAATACAAAATGGTCTAAGACCAGTTTGCTGAACAAGCTTTGTAGCCATGAGCCATGCTTTTCCTCAGAGTACACCTTCACATAAAGGTAGAAAAGGCTTCAGTGTTTTTGAGCCTTTTATCTGAAATCGGTATGCTTTTTGCAACGCACACTTAAGAGAAGACAGAGAAGGATTTGTCAACATAGCAACGGTCATCAAAATTGTTCAAAGGTTTAAACAACAATTATAATAAATGCAACAGTTGGACAATGAATTTGTTTAATCCATCAGATATTGACTGAATTATAGCACATAAAACATTGTACTGGCATGGACAAATAATGAATGTTCAGTCATTTTGGTGGGAATTAAGTTATTCCATTTATTGTAAAATGTCACTTTTTGTTCTTATAATGCACTCACATATACATTTTCTTGGTATATCAGGATTTTTTTTTTTGCTTATCAAACACACAGCATATATTGACAGGATACAGTCTGTATCTAAGCTACGTGAAATTACATCACTGTTTGATTTAAGAACCTTGCTGATCCGCTCTCCCACTTGAGATCAGGAGATAGCTGACCTTTGCATAAGGTAAACCATAGACTGTAAGAAATACAACTGTTGAACAACTGTTTAAATCATGTTGTAATCCTTTCAGCACAATCTAAATAAAGGCTGACTAGTTTACATGGCTGGGTGGGAGGCCACAGCCATAATGGCATCTGCATGACAACAGAACTACTGTATAATATAATAATAATAATATGCCATTTAGCAGACGCTTTTATCCAAAGCAACTTACAGTCATGCATGCATACATTTTTTTTTTTGTGTATGGGTGGTCCCAGGGATCGAACCCACTACCTTGGCGTTACAAGCGCCGTGCTCTACCAGCTGAGCTACAGAGGACCACCTGTATGAAAGACAAAGGAGATTTGGTTCAGTTAAATTCTACATAAACAACCAGTCAAAGCTGTCCAGTCCATTCATGAGGGTATGCAGTTACAGGGCAAACAATAGTATACACTACAAACACGTTATAGTCTTATAATTATAGTCTTCCTGAAAATATGCTGAAAATAATTGAAGGGACCGATGAGACAGTTTCTCAAGGGGGTTTGTTAAAAAATGCATCCTTCCCTCCTCTCTTCCGTAAGGTAATCCCTGGGGGGGAAGGGGGAGTGCTTTTACTTGTCCTGTTACACACAAGTGTGTAATGGAAATGTGTTTTTTTGCACATTCCCAACGCCCCCTGAGACACCCGCAGGCAATGGGGTCACGGCCAGGGTCGGCTTTGTATAGCGTCCCTGGAGCAATTAGGGCTAAGTGACTTGCTCAAGGGCATAGCAACGTCATTTGCTTGTTCTTTTCGCCTTATCAGCTCCGTTATTCGAGGCCCAATGGTCTAACCTTGTAGCTTCCTGCCGCTGATCTGTTGTTGATTGAAGAAAGCAATAGGAAATGCCCCCGGTTAGCGGATCCACCGCCGGTTGACCCTGGCGCCAAATATTGCTCGGAACTGTCGGAAGTGGTCCAAAAATACTGCAGGAAAACTTCTAGAATTATCAAAGACAACGTAATGGGAACGGAAACAACATGTGGCAGAAACAATTTTTAAGGGAGAACTTGGCAAGAAATTAGAGGAAAGTGAGCAATAAAATACATCTTTCATATGTTTCCTTTCAGGCTCTTGTCGTGGGAGATGGTCCGACTCCTTGGACACCTTCCCAGTTAATCACACTGTTCTCAAATGGACCACACAGCCTCTTCCTGTATGATGTAAGAATCTCTGACTTTTATGTTTGATGACGAAATACAATCACACAACCCTGACATTCTTTGACCTCTGACTCCAACAACTGCCTCTACACGGCTGATTGGAATAGTGTGACCTGACATAATAACAGAGATCATGTCTGAAATTTGATTTCTCTCACAGATGTAACTCTCTCTCCGTCTCTCTTTCTCTCTTTCCAGTTCCCTCTCGGACAGGTTTTGGGATGACGGCCCCATCCACAACAGAGGGCAAAGTCCTCCTGGTAATCTACGGCCTGCTGGGCTGCTCTGCCACCATCCTCTTCTTCAACATCACCATGTTGGACTTCCTCATACGATGGAGCCACCGGAAGAGAACACACAACATCCGGCTAGGGGGCAACAACAACCAACATGAGGGTGGAGGAGAGGAAAGAGGGGTGGAGGCCCTCTGTGTATTCGGTCACTCTCAAACTGCCTCCTCATGCTCCTGGGGGTATGCTGTACCTACTCCCTCTTCAATGCCCTGTCTATCATCATCAAATGGGCTGAACTGGATCCTGAGTCAGCTGATCCATCTGTGTAGCTGCCTGTGCCACAGCAGACCTCTACGATGTGTGTCTGGCTGTAGAACTCTCTCCCCGCTCTGACCTTTTTGAACTGCTCCTGTATCTCTGTGCTGCTGCCTTCACCTCTGGTCTTCTCCCCATCATTGGACTACCATCTGTGGACACCTTCCTTGCTACAACCTCTGAACACCTTTAGTGTTTGTGCATCACTGCCCAAAGTTGACTTTGTGGAGCCAGAGTGTCTTTACAGTTATCTTATGTGTATATTATGTGTTACTATGTCATATGTCCATTACTACTTAGTTACAAACTATTTATAGTTGTTGTTGGGTGCAACTATGTTAGTATTTCACGTGTATATAATATGTCCTGTTACATAGTCATTTAATAGCTTTATGGTCGAGCTATGAGTACTTTTACTGTTGGGACAATAGTTACTCTACTTGCCATTAAAACCTATAGGCCTAAGATGGCCACCTGCCGTGAGGTAATTAGCATCCAATAATGCTGCCACTTCAAGTTCCTATTGTCATGTGACCTTTCATAGATGGCAGCCCCCATAGCCTTGTTTATATTACCATGCTAGCTTAATTAACCGGAATGCTAACATTTATACGAACTTGTTCCTACTATGTATGGGGTTTATACTGTTATGTTATATTAGCTTATACTGTGTATTATGTTAGGTTATATGATTTTCCTACTAGCTAATTATTAGCTATTCGCTTATCCTTTCCTTACTAGCCTGTAGTATGTTAGTCTAGCTGCTAATGTATGCCTGTAACCGTTATACCTTATAGTGTGTACTGTATTCTCTATTAGCCTGTTGCTAATACTTAGCTGCAATTGTGTTTAGCGTCCCTAGCCATTGCCTATTGCCTATATAAAGTGCATTACTCCCATTGCTGCTATGCTATTAGCCTTGCTGCTACTATTCCTACTGTTGCTTAGCATATTAGCGTTATATTGTTATAGCACATTTATAGCCATGTCATTACACTGCTAATCCTATTAGCTATCATCGTAGCATTGTCATTGCTATGTTATCATGCCATTACTGTTGCTACATCGTTATAGCTATATCACTGTGTAATACATCTTTCTATTTGTCTTCTTACAGAATACCACACACACACACATCACACTTCACACATCTATGACATTTATCACTATCACTCCTATTCTCCTTTAATGCTGGTGTGTGTTGCGGCTAGCAATAAACATGTGTTCTTTACCTCTGCCCCCTTTGGAGTCATCGCCCCCTAACCGGGGACCTAGGGCAGTTGTTCCATCCACATTTTACTAGCAAGCAACTCCATGGGTCCAATCAAACAAATGTATTTATAAAGCCCTTTTTACATCAGCAGATGTCACAAAGTGCTATACAGAAACCTAAAACCCCAAACAGCAAGCAAGCAATACAGATGTAGTAGCACGGTGGCTAGGAAAAACTCCCTAGAAAGGTAGAAACCTAGGAAGAAACCTAGAGAGAAACCAGGCTCTGAGGGGTGGCCAGTCCCATTCTGGCTGTGCTGGGTGGAGATTATAACAGTACATGGCCATTAAGTCCAGATTTTTCTCCAAGATGTTCAAACGTTCATAGAGGACCAGCAGGGTCAATGAATAATCACAGTGGTTGTAGAGGTTGCAACAGGTCAGTACATCAGGAGTAAATGTCACTTGGCTTTTCATAGCCTGGCATTTAGAGGTTGAAATAGCAGGTGCGGTAGAGAGAGAGAGAGAGTTGAAAACAGCAGGTCTGGAACAAGGTAGCAAGTCCGGTGAACAGGTCGCGCTCTCCTTCATTTACCATGTATACTTGTTTCATGATGCATTGTTTTTTTCCCTCATCAATCTACACACAATACCCCATAATGACAAATATATATATACAGTGGGGGAAAAAAGTATTTAGTCAGCCACCAATTGTGCAAGTTCTCCCACTGAAAAAGATGAGAGAGGCCTGTAATTTTCATCATAGGTACACGTCAACTATGACAGAAAAATTTGAAAAACAAATCCAGAAAATCACATTGTAGGATTTTTTATGAATTAATTTGCAAATTATGGTGGAAAATAAGTATTTGGTCACCTACAAACAAGCAAGATTTCTGGCTCTCACAGACCTGTAACTTCTTCTTTAAGAGGTTCCTCTGTCCTCCACTCGTTACCTGTATTAATGGCACCTGTTTGAACTTGTTATCAGTATAAAAGACACCTGTCCACAACCTCAAACAGTCACACTCCAAACTCCACTATGGCCAAGTACTTGATCCCCTGCTGATTTTGTACATTTTCCCACTGACGAAGAAATGATCAGTCTATAATTTTAATGGTAGGTTTATTTGAACAGTGAGAGACAGAATAACAACAAAAAAACTACACGGGAGGATCTTGTCAATGATCTCAAGGCAGCTGGGACCATAGTCACCAAGAAAACAATTGGTAACACACTACGCCGTGAAGGACTGAAATCCTGCAGCGCCCGCAAGGTCCCCCTGCTCAAGAAAGCACATATACATGCCCGTCTGAAGTTTGCCAATGAACATCTGAATGATTCAGAGGAGAACTGGGTGAAAGTGTTGTGGTCAGATGAGACCAAAATCGAGCTCTTTGGCATCAACTCAACACGCCGTGTTTGGAGGAGGAGGAATGCTGCCTATGACCCCAAGAACACCATCCCCACCGTCAAACATGGAGGTGGAAACATTATGCTTTGGGGGTGTTTTTCTGCTAAGGGAACAGGACAACTTCACCGCATCAAAGGGACGATGGACGGGGCCATGTACCGTCAAATCTTGGGTGAGGACCTCCTTCCCTCAGCCAGGGCATTGAAAATTGGTCGTGGATGGGTATTCCAGCATGACAATGACCCAAAACACACGGCCAAGGCAACAAAGGAGTGGCTCAAGAAGAAGCACATTAAGGTACTGGAGTGGCCTAGCCAGTCTCCAGAACTTAATCCCATAGAAAATCTGTGGAGGGAGCGGAAGGTTCGAGTTGCCAAACGTCAGCCTCGAAACCTTAATGACTTGGAGAAGATCTGCAAAGAGGAGTGGGACAAAATCCATCCTGAGATGTGTGCAAACCTGGTGGCAAACTACAAGAAATGTCTGACCTCTGTGATTGCCAACAAGGGTTTTGCCACCAAGTACTAAGTTTTGTGTTTTGCAGAGGGGTCAAATACTTATTTCCCTCATTAAAATGTAAATCAATTTATAACCTTTTTGACATGCGTTTTTCTTGATTATTTTGTTGTTATTCTGTCTCTCACTATTCAAATAAACCTACCATTAAAATTATAGACTGATCATGTCTTTGTCAGTGGGCAAACGTACAAAATCAAATACTTTTTTTCCCTCACTGTACATGGTTAGCAGATGTTATTGCGAGTTTAGCGAAATGCTTGTGCTTATAATAATTAGTTATTTAGCAGACGCTCTTATCCAGAGCGACTTACAGGAGCAATTAGGGTTAAGTGCCTTGCTCAAGGGCACATCAACAGATTGTTCACCTAGTCGGCTCGGGGATTAGAACCAGCGACCTTTCGGTTACTGGCACAACGCTTTTAACCACTAAGCTACCTGCCGCCCTGCTTCTAGTTCCGACAGTGCAGCAATATCTAGCAAGTAATCTCTAACAGTTCCACAACAAAAACCTAATACACACAAATCTAAGTAAAGGAATGGAATAAGAATATATAAATATATCGATGAGCAATGTCATTATCAGAGTGGCATAGTCTAAGATGCAACAGATAGTATAGAATACAGTATATACATATGAGATGGGTAATTTGTAAACATTAAAGTGCAATTATTAAAGTGACTAGTGTTCCATTTATTAAAGTGGCCAGTGATTTTCAAGTCTGTATGTAGGCAGCAGCCTCTCTGTGCTAGTGATGGCTGTTTAACAGTCTGATGGCCTTGAGATAGAAGCTGTTTTTCAGTCTCTCGGCCCCAGCTTTGATGCACCTGTAGTACTCACCAGCAACCTGCTTTTCAGTCAGTTGGTCAGCCTGTGAAGACGAGAGGAAGCAAGAGTGAGAGTTGTCCACTGCCCCTAACGTATTGTAGCCTAATTGAGGTAAATTAAGCCACAATCACCTAATGGCTGCTCTTTTACTCCTGTGTGTAACCATACCTGCTCCATTGGATTCGTATGGATTCGCCTGAGATCAGACGAGTTGACATTACAGTGATACTCTCACCCCTATAACCTCAGCGCTCACAGGAGTAGGATAACTTTTTTCCTACACACTGAACACGTTTACATGCACACCGATACTCAAATATTCTGTTTTTGAGTTGACGCATATAAACATATCCGGTATACAATTTTTTGTTGTTATTCTGTCTCTCACTGTTCAAATAAACCTACCATTAAAATTATAGACTGATCATGTCTTTGTCAGTGGGCAAACGTATAAAATCAGCAGGGGATCAAATACTTTTTTCCCTCACTGTATATCGGCTGGATTTACCGTGGTAGGGATTCCAAAGGAGATCCTTACTGACCAGGGGACCCCCTTTATATCCCGCCTTATGGCGGACCTTTGTAAGTTGTGGCAGGTGAACCAGTTGAGGACATTGGTTTACCTTCCTCAGACGGATGGGCTGGTTGAGAGATTCAGCCGCACCCTGAAGTCAATGCTCAGGAAGGTAATTGATAAGAATGGGAAAAACTGGGATTTCATGTTGCCGTATCTGATGTTTGCCATTAGAGAGGTTCCCCAAGCCTTGCTGGGGTTTTCACCCTTTGAGGTAGTATATGTTAGGCTCCCCCGGGGAATCTTAGACATCGCCCGGGGAACCTGGGAGCACCAGGCCACCCCTTATAATAGTGTTATAGAGCACGTCACGGCAATGTAAGACAGGATAGCCACAGTCACGCCCAAGGTCAGAGAGCACATGAGGCAAGCACAAGAGGACCAGCGGCACACTTATAACCGGCAGGCTACCCTGAGGGAATTTCAACTGTGAGATAAGGTGTTAGTGCTGGTCCCCACGGTAGAGTGTAAACTACTAGCCACATGGAAAGGACCCTATGAAGTGCTGGAGAAAATAGGAGAAGTTAATTATCGGCTCCGACAGCCAAGTCGTCGGCCCCCGGAACAGATCTATCACATAAACCTGTTAAAAGCATGGAGAGGGAGAGAAACACTCATTGTCACTTACCCCACACCCACTCAGGAGGCAGCCAAAGTGCATGTTTCACCTACTCTGTCCCAGCACAAGTACAGGAAGTAAAGACCCTGATCCAGAAAAACAGAGATGTATTTTCAAGGATACCAGGACGAACTGAGGTTACGGCGCATGATATTGTTTCCCTACCAGGGAGAGAAGTGAGCATGAGCCATATCGGGTACCTGAGGCTCGACGAGCCGTGATTAGAATGGAGACTGAGAAAATATTGGCAGCTAGAGTGGTCGAAGAGTCACATAGTGAGTGGTCTAGGCCAATTGTGATGGTCTCCAAGCCCGATGGGTCTTTGCGTTTTTGTAATGATTTTCGGAAGGTAAATGAAATCTCCAAGTTTGATGCCTACCCCATGCCCAGAGTAGATTAACTATTGGAGAAAATTGGTAAAGCTCGGTACGACCCTGGACCTAGCCAAAGGTTACTGGCAAATTCCCCTGACCCCCAGAGCCAAAGAAAAGACAGCCTTCGCAACCCCTGACGGTTTGTTTCAATACACTGTCATGCCATTCGGCTTACACGGGGCCCCAGCTTCTTTCAACGGCTAATGGACCAGGTCCTAAAACCGCACCGAGCTTATGCCGCAGCCTATTTAGATGACGTGGGGATCTACAGCCCAGATTGGGAATCCCACTTACCCCAGGTACAGGCAGTGCTAAACGCCCTTAGGAAGGCAGGGCTCATGGCGAACCCTGCCAAGTGTTATGTGGGGTTAGAGGAAACCGAGTATCTGGGATACACTGTGGGAAGAGGGTTAATCAAACCCCAACTTAAGGTTGAGTCAATTAGAGGATGGCCAAAACCAGCAAATAAGAAGCAGGTTTGAGCCTTCCTAAGGTTGACAGGTTCATCCCAAATTATGCCACAGTGGCTGCCCCACTCACCGATATGACTAGAGCCAGGGGGCCAAACATGGTAAAATGGGATGAAAAGGTCACCAAAGCATTTAAAACATTACAGGAGGCTCTCTGCTGTAATCCAGTGCTGGTGGTACCAGACTTTGAGCGCAAGTCCGTGGTTCAG